CAAAAACACAAAAGTCCAAATAAACGATAACAAAAAGAAACAAGAAAAAGAAAGAGACAACAACAACAAATAACATCAAAAAATATGATCTTAGTCCGAAAGGAGTTCAGACGAAGACTCAGCATCACGAGGGATTAGAAGCACCTAAATGTAGGGGCCGACTACCCAAATCTGAACGATGGGTATCCCATCTGGTTCATCCGTATAAATGTACGGAGGCGGAGAGGAATATCTTCAGGCTGAAGAATACGTCTCTGGGGAGGAGGTCCCGATGCAAGTAAGGAAATCAGCAGGTCGGTTCTCCTCGGGAAAAATGCGTGAGATCCGCTAGCGAATCGACCGAAATACGACTTTAATCCACAAGAGTGGATGATGAAGCTGCCAAGTGCCCTGATGGCCAGAGGTCAAGAGTGTGATGACAGTGACATTTAAAGAGGAGATCGGGCCAGCAATCTGAAGACCGATCTGAAGCGCCTGAATCTCTGCGTCATAGCTCGAGAAGGCTCGAAAAGGGGCATGGAACGCAGTAATAAGGGTGCCAATATGATACCTAATCAGGCCCCCACCTCCGGTGGCTCTAGGAAGTCGATCAAAGGCTCCTATAGTGTTTAAATTAACCCAAGGAGACTCGGGTTTCAGCCAAACAACAACTCTGGGTTATGGATACTGGACAGGTGGCAACGGAGATGGTGTAAGGCCTGCCCAGTCTCTCTGGATGTGTCTACCGAAAGCAGTGATGAGGGATAGATGTCGGTCAACTTGCAAAATAATATGTGAACACAAAAAAGAATTATACCTATGCTTCTCATCACTACAAGAATAATCATTTTTAGTGACGATAATTTTTGTCGCTATGTCGTCACAAAATATACCGTCACAATAAGAGGTATTATCGTGACGACATTCGAACATATAGCGACAATATTAAGACATTATTAGCAACGGTATATTTTCTGACGACATAGCGACAAAAATTATCGTCACTAAAAATGATTATTCTTGTAATGCTTGTTTGCTTTTCAAGATGGGATTGGACTAATTTAGTCCAACTGGATAGGATTGTACTGTTGGGATTGAACTAATCCTATGTTTGTTATATAGGATAAGAGGTAGGATAAGTTTAAACTAAAAAATAAATAAAAAATGTGTAGGTGGTGTAAAATACTTTTATACCCCTTTCAATTAAACCAAAAAACATTCTTCCCCCAAACTCGGGATATAGTCGAAGCCTTCTCGGGTAAGTCGCAGCCTTCGAACGAATCAAGGTTGTTCTATGGAGATTGGCAAGTAATGTGTGTTTAATAAAGTTCATGTATTTGGCTGCAATTTTTGAATGTAACCTCAATGTATGCAAGGAGAGTTGCATGCTAATAATTAAGTAAACATGAGGAACAAAACAATTTCCATCAGAATTGCTGCTCAGAGGTAAGCCTGGATTTCTTAGTGATTGGAAAATAGGTAAAGTTGACCATTTTAGTTCATTAATGATGAATGTTAATGTAAGGTAAGAAGGATAAACATAAACTTCATTGTTTGTTTTCTGTAGAAACTGCAAAACATCATTTGATTATGAATTTGGAGTAAATTGACATAATAACTAGACTATGTTCAATGATAATCAGATGAAAATTTTAATTTGTTGTTTTTAATGCTGCCACAATGTGATTACTTACAGGTTTCGAAAGTGAAATAGGAATAAAAAATGAGGGTAATTTCGACTTTAGTTTCTCAGGATTAGATTAATCCCATGTAAAAGGAGGGATTCAATTATCCTGAATTCATGGGATAACTCATTTT